AAGAACTAATTTCATCGTCTGCAAGGCTTGGCCTTAAGAACTGGCACATTCAAACAATGCAAAAGGCAGTTCTCCTTAGTACTGCCCGCATCGTTAGGACGTTTTTATTCATATAACTGACCGCCCGAGTGTGCAAGCGAAGCAGGCACCTTGGTTCTACAAAGGTCCCGGTATAGGCACCTCGCTAAGCGAGAGACATGAAGAAATAATAATAATAATAATAATAATAATAATAATAATAATAATAATAATAATAATAATAATAGTGTCTTCATGTAGATGTAGCTGTGCCGTTCGATCAAAAAGCCGTAGCCAAGGAGGCAGAGAAACGTCCTAAATACAAGTTTGGAAATCGAAATCAACCGAATGTGGGGCGTAGAAGCTCAGATGGTTCCTATAGTTATCGGAGCTCTGGGATTTGTTCCGAAAAATGTGTGTAAGAACTTGGCAAAACTCCCAGGTCATTCAAAAGACTGAAAACTGCAAGACATTGTTTTATTGACAACAGCCCACATTTTGCCAGTATTGTAGGGGCAACGACAGTCTCAAAATCTGCTCCTTACGAAGCTGGTAATAATGATAATGATAATAATAATAATAATAATAATAATAATAAAATAAAAAATAATAAAATAATAAAATAATAAAATAATAAAATAATAAAATAATAAAATAATAAAATAATAAAATAATAAAATAATAAAATAATAAAATAATAAAATAATAAAATAATAATACAAGGGTCAATAAACGGGAAACGCAAATGTATGAAGTGCAAAAATAAATGTGCATGGAATGAGAGTTTTTGAGTATCAATAATAAATTAATACGAGTAAATAAGTTTATGCCACACAATCTATGTTACATATCTATAAAACTATATGTAACATGTGTTACTTTAAGTTATGGTATATAGATGGTTATAATTCTGAAATAGTGATCTATAGTATGATTTAGAAACATAACCAGGCTAACCTCGGCTTTCCTTTCTAATATTTTACGTTTCGCAATTGCCAACTATTGTTGAGACCCCAGCAAATTTCCAGAAGGAATGTTACAAGTAATGTTTTTGTATATAAGTATTTTTGGGTTAATAAAATATCTATGCTGAATTGAAGGAATCTTTTAGTTTTTGAACCAGTTACACTGGACAGTGTAAGAGTTGAGAATGTCGGTATTCTTGGATCGTCTTTGTGTTGTTACTAAAGTAATCTAGCTCTCTGTAAAATTCTCAAAAACATATCTCACAATTGGAAACACAAACCTCAGACCTCCAATGTACGATTCTCTTTCAAATATTGTGATGTGGTCGTAGCCTAGCCGAGCTAGGAACGTTGCACACGACAGAGACGCTGGACCGCAACCTATCAGAGCAATTTTGCTGGCATTATGCATCACTTTCTGGCCAGGAATGCGTGATTGTGGAATATTCATCTGCTTGAATACCTTTATTAAAAGAGAATGTATTTGTGATGAAATGGCAAGGCAATCTTTGATTACTATACTTTACATTGTCACATCTCGTATTACTCATAGATTGATTCATACATCTGTGGCAAATTGTTGTAATCCTCCAATATTTATAGGACCTTCCTCAACTGCTTGCAAGTTGCAACCGCCGACGCAAAGATCACTTGTAGGACACACCATTCCACAGGTCAGTCCCAACGGATTATCAGATAGAATGGCCTTAGCAGCACCATAGTAGTTCTGGAACAAAAGAACGAATTGACAGCTGGAATTAGCTTGAATTATTGTTACTTCGAGGTTTTTAGTCGTATCACGAATTTGATTAAATTCATCCCGCTGGTGGCTTTCAGCCCCCTTCCTGTTAGACAACTGTTTCAGACCCGTCTGGCTATCGTAACGGTACCGGAATAAAAGGTTTTGACTGTACTTCACCTTAATGAACAATACACTACGTTGCTAGTCACCACCTACAACGTCGGGGATGTGTAGTTTCAATAAGACTCGACATGGCAGGTTAAGTTAAATATTAAAGAAGAAACAATAATGACAGATAAAGTGAGAAATCAGAGAGCAAGACGAACAAATATCACTTTGTGGAGTCACAACAGCGCATGTTTTACTAGCATTATTTGTCGCGGTTAGGTATTATATTACAATACTGCCTGAAGTCGCAAAAACGTTTCAACCCCGTAAACATTTTTTCCTTGCTGGGACGCAATCATTTCTGGGCACGTAAACTGCTACCGTCAACAGTCCCGTCAACGTAGTGAATGTTTTATCCTGGAAAGTGTCACGTTCCTGCGGGTGTTCCTCATGGCCATATAACATAAAAATTATAGAATAATAATGGTACTATAATAATAATAATAATAATAATAATAATAATAATAATAATAATAATAATAATATAAAAACTGACCTATTCACAAAACATTAAGTTACATTAAGAAAAATAAAACTTGTATCATCTAACTCTAATTAAATTGTACAATTAAGACCAAACTGCTCTGCTCTTCACTTCACTATGACCCTTAAATCACTTCCTTCGTTATTTCTCTGCCCTGCACTGCATGACACTTCACAATATAACACTTATTCATCGCTATATAACCTAATATTCTGAGTTGAGTCCTTTATTTACTTAATATGACCCTAAATTAATTTTCTAAGCCATTGAACGCTACGAGGAAAGGGTTCAAAGGTGCAGGCAATTGTTCCATTCCCTTATCGTTCGATTTGTGAATGAAAATTTCCCGAGATCCGTTCTTTGCGGTTGTGCCTGGTACGGTATTCACCGGTATTGAGTGACTGGTATTGATCGAAGAAACCAAGAAAAATACCGATCAGACCATCAGGACGCTACAATTCTTCTCCGGGCAGCTCCTGAATTAACCTAGCTGTATAGTTAGTGTCGGAAAACCGTCTGGGCTCGAATCGTAGGAGACCTCGATGTGAAAGATATTGCGGACACAACGGTGATATAGGCTCTGAGCTTAGTCGGACAGGGAGTGACTCTCAAGTCCCTAGTTTCGCAGTGGCTCGACTACCACCGCAATTGGCGGAGTCAGCATACAAGCGTTTCCGTCGCTTTCAAATGTACGTTATCGAGAGAGGTGACTCAGGGTATCTGCTGATGTCACTATAGTGCCTCTGACCGGGAGATCCTAGGTTCGAATCCCGAAGGTGGCAGTATTATCGACACTGGCTATATAGCTTCGTCAAATTCGGTCGCTGTTTGGAGGACCGGCGGTCTGTTTACCTGTTTTCCGATCGCTAGTTTTGCATGCTTTCGCCCTCGGCATCAAGATTAGGCGAATGCCGGAGCACTACCCTAACAAACGGGCCACGGATCGCGCGCGATCTGTCCTTCCTCATCCCATACTTACACGCATTTACATGCACTACACTACCACTATGTCGGGAGCTTGGAGCTTGTGCGGCTGGGGTTGTGGCCGCTGGTGCGAGGAATGAAAATCGGAATCAAAATCGTTCCTCTACGACTTTATTATGCGATCAATACTCAGAGTAAAAAATAAAAGGTATTTAAGTTGTTTTTTTAAATTCTCATTTAGCCCATTTTTTGAGAAAATTTTGAAAAATGGTGACGCTTGATATAAAGTACTTACAAAAATAAAAATATACAATTGAAATTCAAGGGACTGCACCATCAGCGAGATCGATGGAGAAATATTAAATTAGGTGAAAATCATATTTAGTGTTTAGGTGTTAGCGTTGTTAGTTTCGGCGATTGTTAGGCGTTTAGTTGTTAGTTACGGGTAGATTGTTAGGCGGTTAGCGTTGGTACATTAATTAGTTTTTCTCACTATTACTAAAAACGTTTGAATAATTCGTGTACTGAAGTTATGAGCCAACCCGTTCGCTGTAGATCTAGAGGTAATTGAAATTCCAAGAACGAAAATAAATATTTTATTGCGGGAAATTTAAGACAGGTCGTAGCTGGACAATTAGACGTTTGGAATCCTATATTCAAACTACAAACAAAAAATACAATTTGTTGATAATTATAATGATGCGTGAAAACGTAGTTAACATTTTGTAAGTTATTACAAAACCTAAAAATTGCATCTTTGCTGTATAATAATGGTGGTGGCAATTACATTCCCAACGAATGTGCAACGCAATCTGTTGCAAGTGATTACTGAGTAGTCTAGAAAAGCGACGTTATACCTAGATTTGTTTCCTTGTCATTTTATTTTCTGTAATTGTTTCATAAGAATTTTCGAATGTCACTCAACAGCTGACCAGCATTTGATGCTACAAGCTAATGCAGATGTCTTAATGATGTAATGCAGATGCTACAAGCAGACGCGTGACAAACTCCGCTGACACGTAGAGGGATCGAAGACGACCACTTATTGCCGATTCACATACGGAGCGGAATTTCAAATAACGGAGTCACACATGAAACATTTGCGTCCAGTGGCTCGCAGCATCAACTGATGGCCCTGTAGAACCGCTAGTCCCGGGCTTCTGAGTGTCTCCAGCTTGTCAGCCGCTCTCCGGAGGAGAATTCTAGCTGCCGGGCCAATGGCGGGTCCGTTCCCTCAGAAACTGGCCCCGGACCACGCGTGATATTTCATTCATCGTTATTCTCTCCTCCGCTTTACACACACTCACACGCTGTACGCTACCACACATGTCGGGAGAGCAACGGGAGCTCCAAGGCGGCGGCGATGGTGTAACGGTTAGCGTACTGGACTGTTGTACCGGGTTCAAACCCGATCGAAGCCGTGGATTTTTAAGGGCGAAAAAATCCTTCGTACGCCTTCCTTCGGAGAGGAAGTAAAGCCGGCTGTCCCATGTTCGTAGATTTACTTGCATGTAAAAGATCCTCAAGCCTAAATGACGCCTCTGAGCTAAATTCAAGTCGCCTGTTTCTCGCCCAAGATACCTCCTTTCTCCGGTAGTTGGTGAAAGGAGCGTAGCGAAATTTGCGGTGGAGATGTGCGGATTTTGGTCAGACGGAAGAGCAGGCCTAATGGCCTGAGTCTCGCCACGTAAAATAAGGC